CATGATCTCAAACTGAGATTATTATTGACCAATTATAAAATGCTGTTTATGGATATACATTTTCAGTCATTTCATTGAAAAATGCACTTCATTGCTCAGGTCCATTCAAATAATAGAATACATTTCCAAGCATGTCAAACACATCCACAGCAGTCCAAAGAGTATTCTCAATAATGAACGTGATATGATTTGCAGAAAGAGGTAAACGGCTGAACCAAAGGTAAAAGCTTTAGTAAGCTGCAAAATTAATAGTGAACAAAAATTGCAGAGAATTTTTCGATGCCATTAAAAATAACAAAGAATTTTTAAAGAAACTTCACACTAGTGAAAAATACTAATGATAAATACTACTGAATGACGTATGTTGAATCACCAGAAATTTATTTTAACTCATTACTGTTTTTTTAACAACGTCTTTACCTGAAAGTAGTGCCTATAAAGTGTATGCTTTTTGGATTACTACTAAGGTAAGATAATGTAATCTAGAATACGAAAAGAAAGAACCACAATATGTTATTTTGCTGAATGCCTGTTAAAAGATGAACTTTTATGATAATCAGGTTAAATTAATTAAGTTAAGCTCTCAAGAATTATTTGCCAAGATCTTTTATGATACCTGTAAATACGAAATTAAAAAAAATTGAAAAATGAGGTTAAATTAATTGATTATGTCAAAGGACTGAAGAGTTATTTACTTAGGATAAGAAACCAGTGCCTTTAAGGAAAGCGTGAATTTAAAAAAAATTTATGATAACGGTAAATATGAAATATAAATATCAAACAAAAATACATTTGGAAATAAATGTAAAATACAGTTAACTGATTATTGCAGGTTACAAAAACCTACAGCATTAATTTAAGCAACTCAAAAACATCAACACGAGCAAAAAAAAGATAATGTCTATTTCCTTGTACGCTTTTCAAGTCCCCAATAAATAAATTCTCATATATTTGAGCACAAAGCTCACCCCATATGCTTTTTTGGTTGATCTTTGGATTATGGTAACTTAGCAATTTTTTGGCGAAAATTTGGCAACCAACTCTGCTACAGCAACCCTCTATTTTTTTTTCCGACGCCATTTTGTCTTCACGAAATAAAGACATATTTCTTTTCTTTTTATATACTCAACACTTTTTCCAACAATCTACTAGCCAAATTACACTTATGCTAGAAATTTTATCTAACAAAACTGCTTAATTATGACATATATTCACTTCAAAATTGGGAAAAAGTGCACAATAGCAAACTCCTTGCGCGTTTTTCAGAATAACACATACACATAAACCATGTACACGTCGACTTATTTTACTTAAAAAAAATCCCAGAATTGCACAAAAATGGCATGCGCACACTCTTCAATATATCCATGTACACTGCTTTTTCTCATAAATTAGAAAAATTCACAAAAATACATGACAATTTTCTGAATTTTTAAACCCGGTAAAAAGAACATATATGAAATTACCTGATCTCGAAAAAAAATATACCCTTTCCAAAATATGAACATTTCCACGTATAAAATAAATAAAATAATCCAAAAACTTTTTACTCCAAATTGGTTGATCTTACAATATGGGTAACTGGTAGTTTGGCGACATTTTGGAGGCGATAAAGGTTACTACCTGGGACTTTGGTAATAATGTGAGCATACCAGTTCCGATTACGCATTATTTTGTGTGAGGGAAATGAGAGATCATGGGATATGTCATGTGATATTAATGGACGAATTACGTTTCTTTAATCGGAAAAGGGGGGAAATCGGGAAAAAATCTGGAAATTTTGTATTTGGCTTTATTCTGTGTTGTGTGAAACAGTGTTGGTTAATTTTGGATCCCATGGCCGTAAATAAAGTGAATTCGAAATGGGTATTTAGTGGTACTGGAAAGGGTAGTAATAAATGATTGTTAAGGTGTGTGAGAGAGATAGAAATAAAGTTTTATAAGTTTTTTACCTTTACCTGGGGTACCTTGCTGTGAAATATAAGTATGATTTTAAAGATCCTGAAACAGAAAGAAGAAAAGTTTATCGGACACGTAATCAAGATTCCGAAGAAGATTAGGTAAGTTAGTATTTTTAATTATTGAGGATAGTATTTTATGCATTGTTCTAAATGTAAGGTGGAAAGGAATTGGTATTATTGGGGAAAATTGTTATAGCAATGATTTAGTTTTTAAAGTAATTAGGATTGTAAGGAATTTTTATTAATTTAATGTATGTGCTCATTTATTTTAAGTACTGTGTTTGAATTAATTATATTTTAATGAAATGATAGTTATTTTGTGAATTTTATGTTTGTAGGAATTGGTAACGTTTTAGTTGAAGTAAACGTGCATGGAAATAATTTAAATATCTGACACTAAGTATTTGTAATCGTTGCGGTATGAATTCGTTGGTGGCATTTATAATATAATCGATGATTCAGAGGTAAAAGTTTTTGGATATTTTATTTATTTTATATGTGGAAATGTTCATATTTGGAAAGGGTAAATACTTTTTCGCGATCAGGTAATTTCATATATGTTCTTTTTACAGGGTTTAAAGATTGAGAAAATTGTCATGTATTTTCATGAAATTTTTCTAATTTATGAGAAAAAAGCAGTGTACATGGATATAGTGAAGAGTGTGCGCAATGCCATTTTTGTGCAATTCTGGGATGTTTTTTTAAGTACAAATAAGTCGGCGTGTACATGGTTTATGTGTATGTGTTATTTTGAAAAACGCATAAGGAAAATGGTATTGTGCACTTTTTCCTAATTTTGCAGTGAATATTTGTCATGATTAAGCAGTTTTGTTTGAGAAAATTTCTAGCATAAGTGTAATTCGGCTAGTAGATTGTTGGAAGAAGTGTTCAGTAGATAAAAAGAAAAGAAACATGTCTTTACTTCGTGAAGACAAAATGGCAGCGGGGAAAAAAAATAGAGGGTTGCTGTAGGAGAGTTGGTTGCCAAATTTTCGCCAAAAAATCGCCAAGTTACCATAATGTAAAGATCAACCATTTAAATTATTTCCATGCACGTTTACTTCAACTTAAACATATACCAAATTCCTACAAACATAAAATTCACAAAATAACTATCATTTAATTAAAATATCACTAAACCATGTACACGTCGACTTATTTTTACTTAAAAAAAATATCCCAGAATTGCACAAAAATGGCATTGCGCACACTCTTCACCATATCCATGTACACTGCTTTTTTCTCATAAATTAGAAAAATTTCACGAAAATGCATGACAATTTTCTGAATCTTTAAACCCGGTAAAAAGAACTATATGAAATACCTGATCACGAAAAAAGTATATACCCTTTCCAAATATGAACATTTCCACGTATAAATAAATAAAATATCCAAAAACTTTAACTCTACTTATCTATTATATTACAAACGTCACCAACTAATTCATACCGGAAACATTACAAATGGTTACAAATACTTAGTGTCAAATATTTAAATTATTCCATGCACATTTACTTCCACTCTAACGTATACCAAATTCTACAAACATATAATTCACAAAATAATATCATTTAATTAAAATATAATTAAATTCAAAAACACTACTTAAAATATAAATAAGCACATACATTAAATTAATAAAAATTAGCTTACAATCCTAATTACTTTAAACTAAATAATGCTAATAACAATTTTCCAATAATACCAAATTACTTACTTCCACCTTAAATTTAGAATAATGCATAAAATAATATCTCAAATAAATAAAAATACTAACTTACCTAATCTTCTTCAGAATCTTGCTTACATGGTGGATACACTTTTATTATTGATTCAATAAAATTATTGAAGGATTTTTTCTGCGAATTTTTTCTCCACACTTCGTCTTTTTTTCTCCACACTACGTCCGCTAAATAAAAAGCAAAATTCTCTTTATCACAATGTTGTTCCATGTTCCACTAATTACTGCCGCGATTAGCACGTAAGAGTACGTGCTGTATTTTATCACAATGCCTCAGAATGGCGCTTTTTATAGCACTCCACGTACTCTCTCTTGTATTGGTATGTGCACCTGTTTCCGGATCATTAAAATAATATTAGACAGCGCCATACAATCCGAAAATTATTCAACACTACTTCACACAACACACAATGAAGCTTAATACAAAATGATATACTGCCACAGATATTTTTCCTAATTCCCCCCCTTTTCCGATTAAAGAACTGTAATTCGTGCATTAATATCACATGACATATCTCATCATATCTCATTTCCCTCACACAAAATAATGCGTAATCGGAACTGAGTACTGCTCACATTATTACCGAAGTCCTAAGTAAGTAACCTTACCGCCTCCAAAAGGTATTTTGGAGGCGATAAGGTTACTCGCTTCCAAAATGACGCCAAACTACCAGTTACCATATTCCAAAGATCAGCCCTTTTTCTAAGCACTTAGTAAATAATTGGGCACTAAATGATCTAATTTCACACATTCCGCAATACTTCACTTACGAATCGAAATCTGAATTCATCGCGAAGCCAAACATACATAGATGTTCTTCGGCCAAGCGACAAATGTTACCATGCTGAAAATATGCCTATTGCGGATGAGTGAAGCAACTTCAATGCTAGGGCGAGACGCTACTATATTTTGTTACAATCAATTAGTTTCTGTAACTAGTAGAACCAATAAATTTTAGAATTAATACTCAAAATATTTATAATTTTGTGATTAGCTTGCCACTTGAAATACAAATCACAGTCTAATACAAGTATTTTCTACATAAGTCAATTTTATGTATTTGCACTAAAGTAATTTACATTCGTAGATATTAACCCAGTGGTTATGCACGTTTGCCACAGTTTGGAATATACTCAAAATATGGCAACTTCTACTAAGGTGCAGAAATTTTACTGTGATATTTTCCCTTGCTTGTAAATTACAGATTATTAAACCCAAATTTAAGGGGGGAAATATCACAATTTGCCTATAAAAACTGTTGGATTTTGAAATGAAACAAAAAAGAACTCTGACAAAATGCATTACCGAAAGATTATTATATTGCTTTATTGAAAGGTTATCATGAACATAGTTGCTGGAAGAATGGTTATGCACATGCTTGCCACAGTTAGGAATATACTCAAAATATGGCAACTTTTACTAAGGTGGCTGCATTAACACACAAGTACCAGAAAAATCCTTATTTCCTGGAGTAATTTAAATTTTGTACAAAGACATTAGAAATTTCATAATGGCCGCATTGTGACATCAACAACATACTCCATGTTGGATATTGAAAATATAAGGTTTCCAAAATGTAAATGAAAAACATTCTTAACCTTAAAAAGAAAATTACAAAGGCTAATGAGGAAAAGGGAAACACATAAATCCTACAGTACTTAAAGATATCACAAAACAATATATATTACATTTCATACTTTTTGCAAAAATGCAGTAAAAAGTGGATTGGATTGCAAAATGTGAATGAAATTTCCATTGAAATGAAAATGTTCAATACTTCAAGCTGTTGAACAATTCACATGATATTACCTGGATGGGATGAATGTAATAGCTATAAAATTTCCAGATTCAGAATAGTCTCTAACTTTTCATTCTCGGAATGTTCTGCATTAAACCTTTCATTACTAGTTAAATACCAAGGATACAGACGTGTTGCCTTAAATCTTTAAAATGACTTACAAACAATGAAGTTTTTCTCTGGTGGAAACAAACATATGATTTATTAAGAATTGAAATGAAATGACAAGTTATATACCATTTCTTTATAGCATGGACATGCCATAACTAGCCTTATATTATCTGTAGACATGTATCTTTCAGTTTTTCTATAATCCAAGTGATATGTTACGCATGCAACTTATGAAGTTTCTCTCTAGTGTGAATAAGTATATGCTTCTTTAAATCAGATTTTCGAGTAAATGACTTATGACATAAATCACAAACATGAGGTTTCACTCCTGTGTGAATAAGTATATGCTTGTTTAAATTAACTTTTAGACTAAATGACTTATTACATACCTCACAAACATGAGGTTTCTCTCCAGTATGAATAAGTCTATGCTTCCTTAAATCAGATTTGTGAGTAAATGACTTATTACATAAATCACAAACATTAGTTTTCTCTCCCGTGTGAATAAGTATATGGTTGTTTAAATAATCTTTTAGAGTAAATGACTTGTTACATACCTCACACGTATGAGGTTTCTTTCCTGCGTGAATAAGTATATGATTGTTTAAAGTACATTTTCGAGTAAATGACTTATTACATCGATCACAAACATACGGTTTTGCTCCTGTGTGAGTAAGTGTATGCTTCTTTAAATCCCCTTTTACAGTAAATGACATATTACATAAATCGCAAACATGAGGTTTCACACCTGTGTGAATAAGTATATGTTGCTTTAAATGACTTTTATGAATAAATGACTTGTTACATACCTCACACACATGAGGTTTTCGTTCCTGTATGAATATGTTTATGTTCATTTAACAGAGCTTTCTGAGTAAATGATTTGTTACATACCTCACATACATGAGGTTTCTCTCCCGTGTGAATAAGCATATGATTGTTGAAAGCACCTTTCCGAGTAAATGACTTATTACATACATCACAAACATGAGGTTTCTCTCCTGTGTGAATAAGTATATGGTTATTTAAACTAGATTTACGAGCAAATGATTTATTACATATCTCGCACACATGAGATCTCTCTCCTGTGTGAGTAACCATATGTTCGCTTAAACTAGATTTTCTAGTAAATGACTTGTTACATAATGCACATACATGAGCTTTCTTTCCTGTGTGAATAAGTATATGTTCATTTAAATGGCATTTTAGAGCAAATGACTTTTTACATACCTTACACACATGAGATCTCTCTCCTGTGTGAGTAACCATATGTACACTTAAAGCAGATTTTACAGTAAATGACTTGTTACATAGCTCACACACATGAGGTTTCTCTCCAGTGTGAATACGTAGATGGAGCTTTAAGCTATATTTGTAAGCAAATGACTTGTTACATACCTCACATACATGAGCTTTCTTTCGTGTGTGAATAAGTATATGTTCGTTTAAATTGCGTTTTAGAGCAAATGACTTGTTACATACCTCACACGCATGAGGTTTCTTTCCTGTGTGAATAAGCATATGGTTCTTTAAACAAACCTTTTGAACAAATGACTTGTTACATAGCTCACACACATGACGTTTCTCTCCGTGTGAATAAGTAGATGGAGCTTTAAGCTAGATTTGTAAGCAAATGACTTGTTACATACCTCACATACATGAGGTTTATCTCCCGTGTGATAAATCATATGGGTATTTAAATCACATTTTTGAGCAAATGACTTGTTACATACCTCACACACATGAGGTTCCTTTCTTGTGTGAATAATTATATGTCTGCTTAAATGACATTTATGAGTAAAAGACTTGTTACACACTTCACAAACATGAGGTTTCTCTCCTGTTTGATTAAGCATATGTTCATTTAAATGACTTGTTACATACTTCAGATATGTAAAGTTTCTTGTCTGTGTGAATAAGCATATTCATGTTTGAAGTGCTCTTGAATCCAAATGAATTCTTAGATATCTTACACATGAGTTATTTCTCCTGTATGTATATCCATACATTTCTTTAAAGAACCATACTGTCTAAATGATTTGCTACATACCTCATACACAAGGTTTGTTTTCTGTGCAAATAAATATATAATTGTTTAAATAACTCTTTAGTCTAAGTGACATTTTACACATTGCATACACAAGGTTTTGCTCTTGTGTGAAAAAGCATATGGAGTTTGAAACTAGACTTATTGGGACAAAATGATTCTACATCACATCCTGCATTGAGAAGGAGGTGAAAAATGAAGATTTAGTTGAAGCTTCTGTCTAAATGACTATTACCTACCTCACATAAATGAGGTTTTTTTTGTTGGGGGGAGTATGCATGAGCTCTTTTAAAAAGTTTCTTTGTCTGCATGACATTTTCCAATATACGTTGCACTCAAATATTGGAAATATAATCAAGAATTTTGCCATCCGGCAGTTTTCGGATAACCGGCTCTTGGCGACCTGGAATGTTTAGATTAAGCAAAGTAGTTGTTGCATGCACAGGTGATATAAAACACTAATACATATTGAACAGAAGATACATCAACTAGTGGGATATACCCCATGGTATGAATTTCAGGAACACATTTCACGAAAAATAAGTTCGTTAAATTTTGCTCTAAAATGATTTCTCTCATTAGCACTCATAAAGGTTAGCTTGTTCATTCATTGCCCCAAATTACATATTCTGTAGCAATCTTGCTTTTCAGCAAGAAGAAAGGAGGTGAGGACTTTGCCGAACGCCGTTTCCTCCAGTCCGTGAATAATTACATAGAAAAGCCATGAAACCACTTTAAAACTAGAGCAATGTTGCCAAGAAATATTCACGTCCTACAGGAGACTAAACAGGTCCCGTTAAGATATTTTATGGGTTACAGAAAGATCTACTACTTATTTCTCAGAAGCTTTTTGCCCAACAGCTTTAGGCCTCACGCCTATTACAATCGGCGGGTTCTTCACGCATTTGTATTAACGACATTTTACACATCTCACACACACAAAACGGCACGCTTTCTTCCTCTGATAAGAACGTATGTAATCGAAGTTGTCAAACAGCAATGACACACAAGGACTTCGGGTCCCATTTCTTTGCTCCCATGTCCAAACGCGGAATGCCCGCGGGAAGCGTATTTTTACTTCCTCCCTACGAAACGCAACCCGCTACTAAATTTGGTGATTTACGAGCTCTTGGCGAAATTGTGTGGCTAGCGCATGCGCAGAGATGGAAGAACTATTGTGATGATATGTCGTATTTTGCAACGTGATATTTGATCGCCGATATTTCGTCCGTGAAGCAGCAAACTTCATATGTGATTAGTAGGGGGGGGGGAGTAGTTTTCCGTTTCGCCGGCGCAAATCTCGCCAAGCAGACTTTATTGGCGACAACATACAGTATACACATAAGAAATATTTAAAAAATGTTAGTTCTAAGAATTTTTTATTTTGAGGGCAAAATTTAATCGCTTAAAATTTTAAAAAAAGCCAATAAATAAAAAACTTGTAAAAAGACGTTAATTAAAGAATTAATAGCCTTCAGTTCAACACTGATTCGCCGGTTCATATCACTGACCCCAAGCGATCTCATCTCACGTAAACTACTCTACAAAAATCTAATGTTATCAGTAATTATTATTAATTTCAAGTTAAATCTTAATTTGGACCAAGTTAAATGCAAGAAATATTTCATTCGTATGAATAGCTTATTCAGAAATTATGAAAAGTGCAGTGCTTTACTCGCAAATGTCTCATTAGAATTGATGAATTTAACCCTGACTACTTTTTATATTTTTCGGCTTCGGGTGCGCTGTGATTGCTCCTATGACGTATTACCGAAAATGGCGTAGACATAACTGTACTAGCTGATAAAATCTATCTAATTTTGCCAGTATTGAAAGAAAAAATCAATTGATAAGAAAAAGTTGCGACTTGTTTTGAAAATGAGGCGTAAAAGGTTACCAGTGAGAATATTCCGCTTGGAATCGGTTGTACCATTATTGGCGACTTTATCGCTTGCGTCGGCAAAACGGAAAAGTACCGTAGGGGGGCATTAAATACAGAAAAATGGCGGTTCATTTTTCAACAGAGTGTACTTATGGTGCCTTTTTTTACGGCTTGACTATGTGTCGAGCTATTGGCAGTTACTAGCACTGTATATGGTTAGCTTGGTCGCATTACAGTAAAGAAAAATATTAGGTATACACCGGGGAAAAAAAAAAAAAAAAAAAAAAAAAAAAAAAAATTCAGCTGAGCTGAGTTCATATGATATGATAGAAGAGGTAGAAGTGCTTTTTTTTCGCTTATGGAATGATGGAGTTACGTACTCGAGCAGCGACCCTAACTTCAATCGCACTAGGGTGGCGCTTCAGTGAAAATTCCGGTTCCCAGTTTTCAGTGGCTTTCGCGAAATTCATCACTAGGTGCGCTCGCATTCTGCTACAATTTTGCTATACGCTCACTATTTGTAACGTGGTTCGTTATTAACAAAAAGTGTATTTTATGGCTAGCTGCTGTATATTTAAGGCTATACTTAACAAGCTTTTTTTTTTTGCGTAACTTTATATGCATATAGGTTTAAAATTGTGTATATACTCATTGAACTCAGTTCTGAAATTCCTCATTCTGCTTATTTAATTCTGAAATCTTTGTGCATCTAATGCTGTTACTTTCAAAACTTTGTGCGGAACTTTCTTCTGATTAATCTGGAATGAAAATGCTACACATGGATTTATGTCATGTAGGTAATGTATCAAGATGGCACTCATGTGTATGTGTGCTTAATAGTGATAATATTGTTTTGTGAAATTCAGTAATTTTATTTCATGTATACATTATTCTTGATAAGAACTATATCAGTATCTCACGTTGCCAGCCATAAAATTTTGTACACATGTCATTCTGATAAATGTTGTATGTGTGTAAAAATGTCTACCTGCTGTATATTTAAGTGATGCATTTAATAAGCTTAAGCTTGTTTTTTTGCCTAACTTTAAATGCATATATATCTAAAATTGTGTATATTCCGCATTCTACTTAGCATTGTGGGCACGTATGATGGATGGATATTATTTATATTCAGCCATTGCAAGTTTTCAAATTTTATCCTTGATATACAGAACTGAACGTTTTCTTAAGTATATATTGTGATTATGAGAGTTATTATTTTTTTTGTGTGCTGTTAAAATATATTTTAGGATGTCTGTGTCTCTTTTATTTATAAAAACAAACAGATTGATTTGATCAATAGCTTTATCAAAAATTTCATTATTTTCATTTGAAAACTTTCATTTGAAGTTTCTCTAACACTGAAAATGTAAATTGCTGCAATGCACTTAATTCAATTACTAGTTTCTTAATGTTAACATTAATGATATTTAGAATTCAAATGAAAGTGAAGAGAAACACACCTGCGTAATATTAAAATTAGTCAAAAAAGCAACTTTGGGTTTGAGTTTCATTCAAAATCTATGCCACAGTAAGACTTTTTTTTTCTTTTTTGGCCTAATAATTTTAGAATGTCTTTGAATATCTGCAATGCAAATACTGCACAGAGATCAAAATCTGCATTATTTAAACTTTTATTGTTTAAGATTTCCTAAAAACAGTTATTTAATAATTTAAAAAAATTCTTCAGTATGTAAAATTTAATCTCTTTAAGTAATATTTTTACTTTAATCTCTTTAAGTAATATTTTTACTCCAATGCCGTGGAAAGAGATATACAAATTTTAGATCACGGTGTATTAATATGTTAATTACATCTTTGATAGGGGATACTAAATTATTTTTTGGCCCAGTACAGCCGATAGAAATATTTTGAAAATTTTTCACTGAAATAGTACATGATCTGAAGCTATCTGTTAACTTCTTACTATATAAATAATTAAAAAATAAGGTGTATACTCTGAATTACCTTTAAATTAGAATAAATAGTTGTAATGCGTACAATTCAGAATAGCGCATGTCTAGATGAAAGCAGGAATTAAAATCGAGATCAAATAGCTGGTGTTTATGTGTGAAAAAAAAAAAAAAAAGGTGAGATAGCTTAAAATTCCATGCTTTCCTTCTAATTAAAATATTTTTACTAATAAGAAATCAACAATTTCTGACTACTATGGATTAATCGTTTTTAAACTTTGCATATAACAAGACAGAATTCGTTTTTGGTACTTTTCCGATTTTTGTAAACATCGCAAAGTGTAGCAGAATTGTAGCGCCATCTTGCGGTCAGTAGGAATATCACGCAGGCAACCGAAAACACAAAAGAATATTTTCACACTGGCAGGCCTTGAGTAT